GGTTTTGAAAGCTTTTTTCAAACCCCCTTCCCCCCCCCCCCCCCCCGCCCAGTCTTCTCTTCCCCAAGCTGAATAACCTTTGTTCTTCCAGCCTTTCCTTGTAATTCATGGTTCCCACGCCTCTAATCATTTTCATTGCTCTTCCCTGGACTCTTTCCAATTTATCCACATCCGTCTTGAAGTGTGGGACCCCAAACGGGCCACAGTAATCCAGCTGAGGCCTTGCCAGCGCTGAATAGAGCAAGTGGTAAAACACTGGAACAAGTTACCCAGAGGTGGTGGATTCTCCATCCTTGGAGTGTTTCAGGACCTGGCTACACAAAGCTTTGGCTGGGATGATCTAGTTGGGGATGACCCTGCTTGGAGCAGGGGGTTGGACTACATGTGACCTGCCGAGGTCCCTTCCACCCTCATTTTCTATGATTCTGTAATTTTATGATAAGCTAGAAGGTGCATTATAGTGCCTCATGGGAACAAGCAGGGATTCATAATGCCCTGACTCGAACCTAAATGCACCATATGAGCTATTTATACAGCTATCAGAAACATCAAAAAAAAAAAGCCCTGTCAAACTGCTGGCAATGCAGCATGTTGAAATAATTAGTGCATGGCAAAACAAGATGTTGAAAGGAAATGCTAATGTCAGGCCTGTGTTCACCAGCCTCTTTTTCCCTATCATGAAACCACCTAGAAAGCTCCCTATACCGTTAGCAAGCCGAGCTACTCCAAAATATGCTGCACAGCAATGTAGTCACATGCGTAGGTTGCATGATAGTTACTGAGGCCTGCTGGATCTGCCTTGGGGCCCAAGCTCAGCCCATGAAGTCACAAGATTTATCCATCCATTTCAATATGCTTTGGCTCCTGGGCCAAGGAAATAGATTCTTCTTTCCTTTGCCTCCAAAAAAATTTGTAGCAAATCTATTCCTGTAGAGTTGCTCCTGATTTTCCACCTGCTGCAGCTAAGAGCAGAATAAATCCCTTTGCCTGTCCTGCACCTGAGCAAGATAAAGACTTTTTTTGCAAAAAATCTAGTTGGTCTAATAAAAGATACTACCTCTACCATTAGTCCCTGAGCAAGGTAAGCTTTTATGGGCACTATAGAGGTGATTGATATCTTGCATGGGAAATTAACTGGTATTGTAATAACATTGTAGGCACTGAATGGCCAAGGGAAGGCATGGAGGCTGGATGGAGCCCAGCCCACACCACTTTGCACAGGGCTATGCAAACTGCCCATTCACATGGGGAGAGTGTTACAGGCACCATCCCTTGTACCAAACCTCAGTCTTGGTTTGGAGATGAGCTGCTTCTCCCTGTCACATGCCGCTGGAAGTGTGAACAGTGACCTGACTGGTTCTCTTGCGTTTCTAGGCATCTCTCTGGATGTTGATGCAGACCGCGATGGAGTGGTGGAAAAGAACAACCCACGGAAGGTAACTCTGACTGTGTGAAGGGTCTGGGATGAAATCGCTGTTTGGTCAAACTGCTGCTTTTCTTCCCTTTAGCCTCTGTACTCAGCCTGTGGTGCCCAGCTGTGAGGACACAGCCTTGCCATCATCCTTGGCACCAGCAGCTAACTAGCCTTTGATACCACATCTGCTGTTCCAGCTCCCAGAGGCCAAGCCCTATTTCAGGGCAATTATCTCTACCCTTTCCTTTGGGTTTGGTCATGTTCAAAAGGAAATCTGAAAGAAGTTGCGGTCTGGAAATGGGTAGGAGGACCCTGGGAGCCCATGGGTCATCTTGGTGCCGGGAGCAGCTGTCTTGTTCTCCTGTCCCATTCTTTTGCAGGACAGCAGCAAGTAGTAGCTGCTATCACAGTAGGAGCCTTTGAAGTAGAGTATTAGAAACTTGAGCCTAAGGTCTGTACTCCTGCTAGTGAGCTGCAATGCAGGTCCCTTAGCAAATGCAACAAGGAAAGCATAAGCATGGATTGCACCCAGACCTCCATTGCCCAGCTCCTCTCAATCGCAAGATGTCCCAAATTTGGCCTGAGTTGTATTCTGTACTGGCCGCCTGAATAGGAACAGAAGGCTGATTTCTGAAGAAGCTGGGCTGATATACCGAGAACTGCGTTCACTTGACACCACGGCACTGTAATTCCTGGAAAAGCATTCAAGAGATGGAGAACAAGAGTAAATTATACCTCTTTGCTCTGCTGAGCAGTGCCTGCCTGTGGAGCCTTCTCTGAAAGGCCAGCTTTCATCATTGCTATTTGAACAATGTTGCACAGCTGTCCAGAACAGGAATGGACAATGAAGACACAATTGTGGAGTGCGAGGAACATTCATTAAGTCACTGGCAGGTGCTGGGATGGGGTGAAGGTGAAGGTTTTTCCCCTTGCCTGGATTGCCATTGCTTTTTAGAGATGCTCTTCATAAAAAAAGCTCCTTTCATTTGTAAAGAAGAACACTGCCCAGCCCGTGGTTATCAGCAAGGACTGAGGGTGCATGTACACACCACGAGATTTGCCCTTTCAGGCAGTGCTTAACCCTGACCACCCCCCAAACTGTGTTTCTCACTCCTACAATGAACATAGTGACTTCTTTCTTTATGAATAGTTGCCAGCAGGCTGATAGCAACTGGAGCTGGCTACTAGAGAGACATAGGTGTACACACACACTAAGCCACTGATTCTCAACCTGGGGTGTCCTTAAGATACTTTCAAGGGTGCTATGGGGTGCCATGCAATGTTAGCACTGTTAGGTGTATAAACATAATTCACAAGACAAACCTGGAGGTTTCAAACTCTGACCTGCTCTGGGCTTTCTAAGTTCTTTTTCAATAAAATAATTGCTCTGTTATTTTTCTATAATTAAAAAAAGAGTGAAAGCTATGGGCCGGCATTTTCCAAGGGCAGTCTTGAGCCTATCCAGCAGTGCCTTGAGTCTAAAATTGTTGAGAGCCATTGCACTAAGCCAAGCTTTTCCATTTTCAGGCGACCTGGACATGGGGCCCAGATGGACAAGGAGCCATCCTGCTAGTGAACTGTGACAAGGACAATCCTTTGATCTCCATGCTGGATTGTGAGGATGAAAGAGTATTCAGCAAAGAAGGTATTTTACACACAGCCCCCACCCCCAGTGCCTCAGCATCAGATTAGAAATGTGGGCTTGGCTTTGTCTCTATTTTAATTTTTTCATGGAATTCACTGATAAAGTAGAGCAAAATTCAGACACCTGATTTCCTTTTTTCTGTTTGCAAACTGTCTGTGGTACTCACTAGTCACTTTTAAGGGTTTAATTTGCTAGCACATGGGTGCAGCCTTTTTCCTAGAAGAAAACCTACCAAGGAATGGTTGCTCATTCCAAAACCCCCAGGTTCCAGAGTAATTATATTTTAAAATGAAATGTTTCTTTTTGCCCTACCTAGCTGAGGCATTGATTTCTGAGGGCCATCCTTGAGCCTGGCCGTGTGGTTTTGTTCTGAGAAGTGATGATGCTTCCTTCTGACTTCTCCAATCTGCTTTGGCCCCAGATTTGCTGGATATGGCTCGGATGGTTTTGAGAACCGAAGGCCCCCAAAGACTGCCTCCGGGGTACGAAATGGTTCTCTACATTCCTGTATCCGACTCTGACAAAGTCGGGGTCTTCTACGTGCAGAGTAAGTGTTGCCTCTCTTCCTTCTCTGCCCCCTCCCTTGTCTGTCATATCATGGTGCTCCCACGATCTCTGGGGCTGCAAGCTTTGTCCCTTTCTTGTTGGCCTTGTCCTCTTCATGTTCTTTGCACTGGCTTTCCATGCACACACGTCCCACTAAAATAATTGCCTCTCCAGCAATTATTAACTCAGTGTGAAGTTGGTCAGTGTCAACTGTGCTTTCCCAATGTCTCCAGTGATTTTTTTCCCCCCCCAAAAATGTAACGTTTTCTTTTTTTCCCCCAAGAATAGCTGGAGAAGAACGATGGGTCAGGACTGACCTTTATCCCTTTTGCTGTCTTTTCTGCATGTTCCTTTTCTCTTGCTGCTTCTAGATCCTTTCTTTGGCCACCGTTACATCCACGTCCTGGGCAGGAGAAAGCTGTATCACAGCGTGAAATACACTGGTGGATCCGCGGAGCTGGAGTTCTTCGTCGAGGGACTCCGCTTCCCAGATGAGAGCTTCAACGGGCTGGTCTCCATCAGCGTCAGCCTTCTGGAGTCGTTGGCTGAGGTTTGGGAATAACGGGAGAAGGGGTCATATCGGGACGTTCAGCTTCACAGCAGAGTCAATCGACTGCATCCTTGGGTAGCTCGGTGCAGTAACACTAGGGAGCCATTTGTTCTGATAGCTACTTGCAGATGAGGATAGGTCAAATGTGTGAAAATCAGGGATGTTTGCAAATTATTTTTTCCCCTTGTGAGCTTTTGTGCAACACTTACAATAGCCACTGCAGGAGCCTGGGTGGCTCGGAGAATGAGTTATGAGATTGCCAGGTGGCTAAAGACAGGCTTGTATTACTGGTTGCCTTTATGTGTTCCATGTGAAGTGAGTCTGGGTCTCCCTTCTTGAGCACAATCTATAGCATGTCATCACAGCTGGCACTGACCCTTATCGGCAGGTCTGGCACCGGGTCAAGGAGCAATTGGGCCATGAGGACTAAGCTGCTGTTACCCCGATCCCAGAAATGATCGTTCCAGCTTTAACTATGAGCAAAAAGCAAGAAGGGTTGCAGTAATCCTGCATGCAAAGTAACAGATAGTCCTTTACACCAGGAATCTCCATGGCTTTGCATTTTGTTCTCATTCACTCCCAAGGACATACAAATGCAAAATGCTTCTGACTTAGGCCTCTTATCCCATGAAAAACCAGGAGCCATTCCCCTAGAGTCTTGCCAGCATAAACCTGGTGTGAGCAGGGTCAGAATTGGGCCCAGGAAGTCTCCGCATACTGACACCAGCGGCAGAGTTTAGCACTCGCGTTGCACAAGCATCAGTGCCAACACCAGGCAGGGGGCAGGGCAGGTTTTTAGTGTCCTGACATGAGCAAAGCAAACAAAAAGCAAACAACATGCCCACCAAGCAATAGCCTAGTGGGGCAAATATAATGGGATCAAGTCTTCCATTGGAAAGAGGAGCACGCTCCTGTTAATGCTCTCCAGGAGATGTAGGGCCCCATGATGGTCACCATTGCCTATTCTGAAGAAAATGGTGATCTATGCTCAGACCCTCAAGGATTTCCTGCCCCATGGTCACTGGAGTTGCACTTGGAGTGGGCCTCGATGGAGAAGCTCTCTCTCCGGTTGTTGCACCTACATAGTAAACCCTGTCCCCTGCCAACTCTGACTTCCAGATTTCTTGCTGCAACGCGGGGTTTCCATTCATGCAGAGTCCCCCATTAGGCACCAGCTTGACCCTCCAGTTCTCCATTACATCTGTGTTATGAAACAGAAGAAGCTGCTGATGTTACCGCTCAATGCATCACTTAGCACATATAATATGCCCATTTCAGCCCTGAGGGCTGTTATTTCAAAGCTCCCCACTTTTTTTTTTGGTTCAAAGACTTAAGTGCTTTTTTTGGAGCGCACCCTGCCCAGGCCCCGGGTGCCCATGTCAAAGCAACAAGACTTGTAGCGAGCTCTAAATCATCTTGTGAAACTTCATCCCGCACTGAAGGGCTCGGCCCTTGTCTGAGGTCAGGGAGGCTGCATGTTACGTGACACACGTGGGGGGCTTGGCTGTGATCTGCCTGTTAGGACCATGCAGGAATGTGAAGCACACAGCAATCTCAGGTATCTTTCTGCCAGCAGATAGGAGAGGCAGGAGGTTGTTTCCAGTCTTGGCAGTACCCCCTCCCAGCTGGCCCTGAAGACAGTCCTAAGAAATGCCCCTCTCTGGAAAAAAAAAAAAAAAAAAAAAACAAAAAAAAAAAAAAAACAAAAAAAAAAAAAAAACAAAAAAAAAAAAAAAACAAAAAAAAAAAAAAAACAGCACGGTGGGGTAACACCAGCAAGCAGCTCCCCATGGGGAAAGGGGTTCCTCAAGTACCACCACAAATCCCATCTCTAAAAGAACTGGGGCGTCATCTCTCCTCCCCACAGCACATCTGTGTGGCCACTTGCTCACTACTACTCTTCTGAGGATTCATAGATATTTCTAGACCACCTTAGGACACTTCACACAGTCCCTCAAAATGCACCAGAAATAGGTCCCAAAGGAAAGCTGCAGAAGGGTGCGCAAGGCCAGACCCTTAGCTGTCGTGCAAATCAGCTGAAGTCTGTAGAGCTACACCAGCTTAGGATCTAGTCCATCTAGTCCTTTGGGTCAGAAATGTAGGTGAGGCAAAATGCCGGTTTTCTTTGCTCTCCTGAGGCAGGATGGAGCTGATTGCTTCGATTAGCACCTAGAGGGGATGATGTGCAGTCCGGCATTAGCAAACCCTGGGAGGAAAGGTTCAGAGCTCATTAAGTTGTGGTTGACTCTGCTCGTTTGCCTATTTTGCCCACGATGATGGTGCCCCCATCGTCCGCCCCTCAGTTAAATAGTCCCCACGCTGAGTGTGGAGCTTTGTGAGCAGATGGATGCGATCACCATGCACGTTATTCCTGCTTCTCTTCCAGGGTATCCCCCAGGCTCCGATCTTCACAGACACCGTTGTTTTCCGGGTCGCTCCGTGGATAATGACTCCAAACACGTTGCCACCAGTGAATGTTTTTGTGTGCAGGTAAAAGCAAATGGAAAAGTCTCCCTATGCAGTTTGGGCTTATTTCTGGGACAGCTGTGATTGCTGGGCATCATGTAGGCATAGGCATTGGACTGCAGATCTGTATATTAATATATAGCACCAGTATTAGAAATCCCAAAGATGTGAGCTGAGAACTCTCCCATCGATTTGCCAATCCAGTAAGTATTGAGAGTTGTCTTGGCTGGACTCAACCTATTGATGCTCATTCATTTTGAATTCATTACTGAGCTCCAGTACTGCTCTGGATATTGGGTAACACTCTTCTTAGTGCAAGGATCTGTCTACTAAAGCGCTGGGTCTCAGTCCTTCCTATGGTAGTCCATCAGGAACAAACTAGGCCCCACTGATTTAACTGCATGAAGTCAGAGGAGGCTGGAAATACTGAAGTGTTCAGTCTGCAGCACGACTGCAGTCTCCAGAGCCCCATTTTTCTATTAGTTGGTTCTTGCTGGAGATATGTGATCAAAGTATTCATCAACGTATGAATCGATGTACAATTCAAAGTACACATTCATCAAAGCATGAATAGTTTGTGCACTTCCAGTGAAAATAACTGGCTTCACTGTGAAATGCTGAAAGGAATCATCATGTCCATGTTCCTTCTCAAGAACAGGTCAACTTGGAAGGGAAAATTGCATTTTTTCCCCCTCTTCTTTCAGTTGCATCTCTTTTCCCTTTGTTTTCTTCCCCCATGAAGGTCTCTCCAAAGTGGCCCTGTCTCCAAGTAAAGAATTGTAAAATTGAGGGGCCTTCTGGAAACCGGCCTAGACACTAAATGAAAAGCGACTATTCTGACTTCTCTCTAGTTTTGTGCAGCACATTTGGTTTTTCAGATAGTGCGGGTTCTTACTCACAGTTTTAACATGGCAGAGAGTTTAGTGCTGATGGGTATCAGGGCAGGTGATCGGCCTCAGGCAGCAGTTTCCCTCCATCCAAGACTTCACCAGCCTGTCCTTCTAAGAAGGCACTGATTCCTACACGTTGGCTCTGCAGCTCCAACTCGCACCGTTCATAACTGCCAGCTTCCCCTGTTTGGTGGTGTGTCCTTCTAATTTATTTTTGAGGGCAAGGGGGAAGGAGCGTGTATTGTTTTCTTTTCCGCTGCAGTCCCATCAGTGGCTTTTTTCCCCTCCTCTTTCAACCACATCTCCTTTTCCCTCTGCTTTCCCAGCGTGAAGGACAATTACCTGTTCCTGAAGGAAGTGAGGAATTTAGTGAGCAAAGCCAGCTGCGACATGAAGGTCTGCTTCGGGTACATGAACCGTGGTGACCGCTGGATGCAGGTGAGGAGGCGACCAGGGGCATGCCGGACCATACCAGGACTTTTTTTTTCTTTGAACATTAAAATCCAGCAGCACAAGCCACTTCTAGATGAAGCTGTCATTGTAGAAGCCTGCATAGCATGGCTTGCCCAGCCTAGCTTCATGCTGCAGTGCTGCCTCAGTTTCCCCTTTTCCATAGGTCAGGCCCACAGGCTCCCAGCTGTGGCTTCTCACCCAGCAAACGCCTACCCCTGCCCTTTCTGGTCTCTTTGGGAGCTCCTATCATCCCTCAAACGTCCCCTGGGCATGTCTGCATGAGATGCTTAATCCACATTGGCCTAATAACACCACGCAGTAACGTGCCTTGGCAAAAACCCTGCTAGTAGCCAACTGCACAGTTATTGGGCTGATGCTCAGTAAGCATCCCTAAATAACCATGCACTGATGCTACTGCGCAGTAACTCTAGGTACTGTGTATTTAGTTAGTACTTTATTAAAGATGTACTAAACTAAATGCACGGTATCTACGGTGCATTATTGAACGTGTAGACATGCCCCCTGGCACTGATCCCTTTATTAACTGAAGAGAAAAGTTGGCACAACCATCTGGAAAATTGGGCCCAAATCATCACCAGCTGAGAACCCAAACACTGAATGCCTCCGAAGTAGCAATCAGGACTCACAGTAGAGTTGATATCTTTTATTAGACCAACATGATTTTTGCAAAAACATTTCTTTAATTGCATGCTTTTGGGCACAAACACCTTTCATCAGGCATTGGAGAAAAGATTGTAGAAGTTCTCCTGGGTAGAAATGAAAGTTCATACTTCATAGGATTTCACATTGTGAAGCTTTCTCCCTTCCCCTTGATGTGCTCCTCTTTTGGGAAACGGAGTTAATGCTAGTCTGCTTTGTAGGGGCCCTGCTGAAAGGCTTTTTGTCAGGCCTCACTGGGCACTTCCCCCGCCTTGCCTGCATTTAATAAATGGGTTTTCTTCCTTGACCAGGATGAGATTGAGTTTGGCTACATTCACGCCCCTCACAAAGGCTTTCCGGTGGTCCTGGACTCCCCCCGAGATGGTGGGCTGAAAGAGTTTCCCATCAAGGAGCTCCTGGTAAGAGCTTTGCATCTTCTCGGTAAACACGCGTGGTATCCCTTGCCTGGTCTCCCAGCAGGAGGAGAAGCTTACGGCAATTTGCAAACATCTTCCAGGATGGTTCACAAAAAAAAAGGAGGGGTTGAAAGGGAGGCAGATGAAACCATTGGTGGCCTTAGGGTGGTTGGAGCCCTGGGCAAGAGAGTCATTTGAGGCTCCTTTGAGGTACTCAGGTGACTATTAACCCACCAGAGTTGCATCGTGGATCTTTTTAATATCCATGGAGTGGAGTTAGATAAATAGTCCAGTGTTAGCATGCAAATAGAGCCACTTCCTTGCAAAAATTTACCCCCAAATCATTTGTGGCAAAGTTTTGGGACCCCCTAAAATGTGGGGTCGGGGGGTGGTCACCTGGTTTGCCTTCCCCTAAGGCTGCTACTGATTAAACCATTGGGGTTTTTTTACTGTAATGTCCATAAAGAAATTATTTCTACTGTGGCTATGCTAGAGAAAGGTGATTCCAACCCCAGCAAAGCCAAATGAGAATGCTTTAAAGCCAGCTTCAAATGTCTGTGACCCACTAAAGTTTACAAGGGGGTCAGGAGAAAAGGTGCTGGCTGGGACCATGAGTATCTGATTCACCTGACTCTCAGATCCCATCATTACAAAAGGAGTCACTGGCCTAACTGAATAAGGGAGAGTCAAATGTGTGAGAGAAGAGCACCTGCAATGCAAAGCAGGTCTGGCTGGGTAGCTTCTGGTTAGGTAGAGGGTCTGCCATCATTTGGCTGAAGATGCCAAGGATACAAATATCTCTGCTATCAGGGCAGCATCAAAGGGCAGGTTGGATCCTAACGTACCTAGAGATGGTCAGAAAATGGAGACCACCATCCCAAGCACTTGAAATAGTGCTTCGGTCTCAAATGGAAACAAAAGGCCAAAGCATCTCAAAATGTAAATCCCAGATTCAGAAGTCTCAATGCTGCTTTGATGAAACGTTTAGTTTCAATGATGTTGAAATATTATAATATGGAATACCGGTGACTATACATACACTTGATATTAAACATGATATATCAATGCTGCTATGTTATAATGTGAGCCAGGTTTCTTGGGTGCAACATTTCCTGCAGGCTCGCTGGGACACCAGACTCTCTTTTGATTCTGCATGACAGAAAGCGCGTCAGAGGCAGCCTTATCCCTCGCACGGGTTCCTGGTTTGGATCTTCGTAGCTATAATAGCTGCAAAAGGACCAGCAATGAGATAGGTGGACCCAGGTCAGAAGATCAAAAGGAAATGCTCCAGTTAGATTGAGGACTGTTTAAAGCCGTTGAAAATGTTGTTAAAATGGACCTGCCTCCTACAAACGGATCTATTTTGACAAAAAATGGCATTTTCCAATAGAAAGCCACCCTGGCTTTGACTGTGCTGGTCACCCGTGAGCTATGTTCTCCTGCACGCTACAGCCGTGCAAGCGTGCCAGCCTTTTGCAGGCCCCCAGAAGTGTAACCACGAACCCTGGGGTTGAATTGTACATGCCAGAGCAAGAGAGGGAGTGAATCAGAGAGAGCCCCAGGGAGGCTGACAAGGAGACGCTGGAACAAATCAGCCACGAGATGGGCTTTGAATGTCATTTGTTCGCTCGGCGAGAGGCAACTGTCCCCCTCGGTCCACTTCCAGGCAGCTGGGCTTTTCAGGCACGGGTCGCAGTTCAGCAAAGAGGTGTCCCTTTCAGACCGGCTCCCTGGAATCCCCCCTGCTCCAAGGATCAGTCGCTCCCCCGCCTCAGAGGAGCCTTTTTGCAATTTGTACCCACCTGCCTTTAGTCCAGAAAGCAGGAAACATCCTCCCTCGTCTTGCCCAGACGATAGATCCCAAACACCTCTTTAAAAATGAACTACCACAGTTGCATCTTCTTGCCGTTATCAGGGAGCAGGAGTAAGCTGCATCCATTTGAAATCAGGCAGAAGGCCACGTCGATTTGCACCTTATAAACTAACTAAATCAGAGATGCCTAATTCTGGGGCCAGGTAGATTCCTAGATCCTCGGTATTAGAGGCTTGTATTTCTTCTCCGCTCGTTAACATGTTTTGCCCCCTGCTTAAAGAAAAGGAAACCCTAATAGGAGCTGATTTATCCAGTGAAAGGGAGCGAGATGCAGCCGGCCGCCAAGTGATCATTCTCCAGGCTTATCTGTGCCAAGTATAAAGGGGGCAGCTCTCCGGGAGGCAGACTCGGAAAGGTTATCTTGAAAGCAGTGAGGCTAACCTGGGAAGCAGCCGTAGAGAACGGGGATTGAACTTGGGGCGCTTGGGGGAGGAAAGAAAGAAAGCAAGACTGGATGTGCTGGGGTCTGAAACCATTGCCTCTTACATAGACACAGCACGGTTCTGGGATGGGATATCCACTGCAACGTGGACGTCGACTGCAGGCTGCTGATGCATCCCCTCGGCATCGCGCAGTCCATCGGTGGCCTAAAGGGTTATGAACACAAACCCTCTGACCCACGCTACCCACATTCATCCTGCAGACAGCTCCCGCTGAGCGCCAACAAGATCCTCGTCGGCATCTGCCACTGCTGTGGCCTACAGCACAGGCAGGGAGTTCCCATTAGTCCTTGCTGGAAAGCGGCACCAAACAGCCCTAAAATTTGTAAGCTGGGGGGTGGATCTTGGATTATGTCGTGACCACGGTAGCACCGGCCCATCTCTGCCGCTTGCTCCTTGGCACTTCTGGTAACCGGAGAAGAGAGCGGCGTGCCGCAGCTATCACACAAGCAGCTCCCTTTTGCTCCATGTCCATTTGGAGAAGGCTAATCGCTTTCAAATGCATTGAAATATATCATTTATCATGCCTGCAATGAGTACAAGCAGTCCTGGATTCGTCATGCGGGATGGGAAAAGCACATTGATCGCCCTTCTTTACAAAATAAGCCAGGCAGCAACTTCTATCTGCCCTCTTTGTAAATTCTTTGCTTGGTATTTTGAGAAGCAATTTCAGCCTTTGGAGCATCAAACGTGTTATAGGCTCCAATCCTGAGCTCCGAAGCCTTGCCTAATCCTCCCTCTATCTCTTCAATCTCATTTTCCAGCTGGCACAATTTAGCCAAACACCCTTTTTTTTTTTTTATTCCCACCCCATAGAGAGGCGCGTGCTTTGCTCTAAGCCTTCAGGGACCGCTCGAGGGGGGAAAAGGAGACGTGAGAGAATTAGCCTCTCAAAATGGAACTGCCTCTGCTGGAGCTGATAGGACGCAAATCCTCCCGATGAAGCAGGGATGAAAAAGCAATCATTTTGAGAACGAGGGTGCGTCGTTGGGGATTTGAAACCTGGCTGGCAATGGTGTCCCATGCCAATGCTTATTAAATCAGGCTGTCTGAAAGGCTCAGCCTTTTCTCCAATCCCAGCTTGAATAGTAGGGCAAGAGCAGTTCATTTTATAGGGTCAAGGGAGGGTGAATGGCCTTCCTTCTCTTCCCCAAAAACACATCACAGGAGTGGAGCTACTTCACCGTGTCTGCTCCAGTCTATGGGCAGAGGATGATCCACCCCGATGCAAGTGGGTTTTCTTGTGGCAGAAAGGGATCGACAGCCTTGTGGCAGTAGATCAGCCCACAAAACATGTCATGGAAAATGGGGAGTCTAAGAGGAACTATGGCCCCCGGTCCTGTCCCCTGCAAAGCTGAGCAAAGTCATATAGAACTTAAATGTTGGCGTATCCATCAATCACGGCTGCCTCATCTGAGACCACTGGGGACTGGTTTTCAGAAGGCCTGCGTGTCCTCCAATGCCAGTGACTCCAGTTGGAGCTGGGAGTGCTCACAAGCTTTGAAAAATCAGGCAGATTTCCAGATGATCTCTGCTGCCACTTCAATGGTGAAAGGATGTGTGAGATGTTGAGGCGCATACCGCATTGAGCAATAAAGTGTAAAGTATGCCAGGTACTGGGCAGATCTGGAAATCTGGCCTCTTGATTTAGGCACTCAGCTGAAAGCTGAGCTGACCCACCTCAAGTTGGGGACCCACAAGAATGGTCTCTAGAACATGCTGCTCTCCGTGCCTCCATTTCCCAGTTTTTGTAAAAACACATTATTTTCTCCATCGGTTTTTTGAGACCCTTAAATGGAAAAGAGCTCCCGGGGGTCAAGCACTATACAAAGCAATAGAAAAGTGAGCGTAGGAGCCATTTGCTAGACCAGAGAGTGCTTTAAAATCTGAATCACTGGAGCAAAAAGAAAACATGAGCTGGCCCAGAAGATATTAGGAGTAGGAGGATTTAGGGCATTTACAGCAGAGAGGCTCCTAGCAGCTAATCTGTGCGAATCCAGAAGGTGGAAAAAGAAACCAAGAGTCTCATCTTTCCCATACTAAATGAGTTGGCTCCGTTCTCACATCTCTAGGGTCATATGCCTCCAGAATGGCTGGAGGAACCAGCAGAAACCAGCCTGTTAAGTGAACATATCCACATCCTCTCATAAATCCTTTCGATGACCCCACAGTGACTTGGATCTTGCGCCCGCCGTGCACGGGGAAGGGATCTCTTTCTGCTAAGCATGTTGTCCAGAGCTAATATGAGCAAACCAATGGGCATTCCAGGGAAAGAAAAAGATCCCAGAGGACTGGAAACCATGAAGATGAGCTGCATCCAACATCCTCCCCATTGGCTTGGTCAAGCCAACCTGAATGCAGACTTTCTGATCATCCACATGGGGCTAGTTGCAGCATCTACAGGCTCTGTCCTGTTTCTAATGAATACATCTCTAGATTGGATCCTTCCACTCCAGCATATAAGCAAATGAATATCAAGCTGATGCTTGCTGTCGACAAGAGGGGTCTTCAAATCCCCTGGTCCCCTGTGGGATATACCTACGATTCAATGACCACGAATGAGTTCTCTCTCTACCTTCAGCATTATCCCCTTTTATATGAATGAGGACACTGCACCATAGGGAGACACACTCTGAACTGGGCAGGGATTAGACTTGGTGACTTGTCTCTTGACCTCTTGATAAAATTTAAATGTAGTTTATAACTCAGCAGCTTCAATTTTTTTTCATTGTTGTGTTTGGACTGGAATGTGGGGGCAGGGGGCCAGACTCAGTGACCTACTGAGGTCCCTTCTGACCCCAACATCTGTGAATCCTATAGGGGATTTTTTTACCAGCAAGACAGACAACAATGCATTATGCTTCTCCCACCTCTCAGCTGAGTACCTAGAGCCAAGAGGCATGTTGATGTGCCATCTCCATAGGGAGCGTCAAACCTGGACTTTGCCGTTCTCGTATCAAGAGGTCACAAGCTAACACACGGGGCTGGCCAGGGCGCACAGGGCAGATCCCACTGATGGCTAAGCCCGATAGAAGCATATCAACTTACTGAAAAGAAAACACTGTCATACTGAAGTGTCTAATGAGTGTTTTTTATTAATAGGTCTAGAGAATCCGTGCTTATTCAGATAATTGACCTGGCTTATGGATAGATGAGGAAACCCAGCAGTGCTAATTAACAGGATGAGCAGTTCTTGGATCCAGTGAAAAAAAAATGGGAGCTATTTGATCCCATGCACATGGCTTCTTTGCTTCTTGACATGTCTTTTACTGTCATGGACTCAAAGTCTGATCTTGTGAGGTCCCTTCTAGCCCCTAACATCCATGAAGCTATGAGTCTTTTCTTCAGATTGACTGAGGGCTTCCAGTTTCTTCCCTGTGCCAGATGAAGACATCACACTGTCACTTGCTGTACAACTCTGAGTTTCCTGTCTCTCGACTCTGCCCTCCATGCATCTCCTGAAAGAGAGCTTCTGCAAGGCCTTTCTCCATCCTTTCCAATAACCAGACCATGAGGATGTGATCAGATCTCTGAGTGCTCCCAGAATAATCTTATTTACAATGGGACAGCCTTGCACAGGCTGTAGTTTTTTTTTTTTTTTGCTGAATCAAAAAGTCTAAGTAGTACTGACCTGAGCACCTTGCCCAAAGGAAGGACACAGAGTACAGCCTAGACCTGGCTGCTCAGTGGAGCTGATCTTGTAAAGTTATTGCACCTTGCAACTCTTCTCCTGGAAAGAGTGAATGGAGAATTTGGAGTCGCTCTGTGCTAGTTCAAGGGACCATGTAAGGTGCAAAGGAGAGGGGAATCGGTCCACTAGAACCTAGCTGCAATACACTACCAGGTCCACATCCATCTCTGGCTTAAATTGTCTGCAGTCTTTGAAGTTACTTGCCAGCATTTCCACAGCCCTCTACTAACCCTGCAGTCAGTGCATGAACATGGGAAAACAGCTCAGGAACAGTTTAGTGCAATGGCAGCTTTTTATTTTCTCTTGCCAGAGAGTAAACCGTAAAGTTGAATATTCGAATTGCATGCATCGTATCAATGCCGTCGTCAACCTGTGATGGAAACCCATCTCCATATCCATGGCTTATGTTGTCTTTTGTAAACCACTTGCTGTGGAGCTCCAGAGCCCTGAAAGAGCAGGAAATGGTTTCATTTGTGCTATTAATAGAGATATTGATAGATATAGATATATTAATAGCACAACTGAAACCATTCCCTGCTCTTGGTATATATATTTGCAGAGGGGTGCTTTTTACCCTATGTTGCACACACTAATTCTCTGATGTTTGAGTTCAAATGCTCCAGGGAAAGACTGTGATAGTGAAAAGAAATATATATCAGTATCAATAAATATATGTACATATGTGTATGTATATATATGTATCTCAAACATCAGAGAACTATTGTGTGCAACATAGGTAGGGTAAAAAGCATCCCTCCGCAAGAGGATCACCCTAAGCTCTGTGCATCACTTAGTGTTATTAAAGCCCCATTCTGAAGCCTTATGAGAAGTGGGATTGAATGGTCGGGGGGTTGGAGATTCGGCACCGATACAGATTTCACCCTATGCGACCTACCGTCTGACTAACTGTTTCTGGCTGGTACCAAGAGTTGCTGGTTCAGAGCTTTCCAGCTTCTCTCTGACAGTGTTATGACACAGATTATTCCTGTCTCCTTTTGTAATCTGGGGCTGGCTCCCACCCAAGCATTTGTTTTTTTTGTGGCCCTGATATTTTTACCTTCTGGGGGCTGGGTGGAATTCAGCAGGATTTTTTTTTTCTGCCTGCCTGCCTTGCTGCTGCCAGCCATTCCTCTTGCTGGAGATCCCTTGAGCTCTTCCACCTACTCACTTGGCCAACAGAAGGTTTGTAACACAGCAAGGGAGTGGCGGATAACTCTGTTGTGACCCCGCAGACACTCTCAGATGGCCTTGTAGCAGGGGAGCAAGAGGTCCTACTGGGGCTGGGGTCAATGCAAAACGTCCCGTGAATTCTTTTGAGAGAGACAGCTGATTTGTGGAGCTAAAGGGAACAGACAGCCCAGTAGTATCTGAAATAAAGAGCCGGCTTGGCTACAAACCACCATGCCCTGAATGAGTCTCTGTGAAATCCTGGGTTGGGCCTAAAGAATAGAAAGACGCAATGTTGGAGCTTTTACCCCAGTAACTTCAAGTTCCTCTGCTGCGATGTTCGCGCTCCCCTAAGGATGTAGCCGGTGGTTATGTAGAGTCAAGGTCATGGCCAGTTCCCACGGGGCTCCCCTGAAGCATTGGTCTCAGAGGCTCTGACCTGTTTCTTAGTCGGTGGGGGTGGCCAGTCTCTAATGGCTTCAATCTTGTCCCACAGGGGAGCGATTTTTGCCCCCACCCACAGAGTCCCAAATACACCACTTCAGGTAATGCCAACTGACATTTCTTTGCCTTCCCAGTTAGTCCAGCCTGTTTGGTCTCATCTAACACAGTGGTTAAATGAATCCAGTGCAACTCAAAGCCCTGACTGTAGATGACCGTATCACTGATGTAAGCCACTGCGAACTGCTCACATCCTTGTATTAATAAATTATTCATCAGTCTCTGAAAAGAAGCAGGAGAATTGCGCATCCTGAAAGGTAGGACTGTGAACTCATACAGTCACTCAGCGGCGGTAAAGGCAGAAGGACTAGGCCAGGTTTCTTCCCAAGAAGAGAAGTTGCAGTGCTAGCTTCACCCCCCCAGGATGAGGGGCAGTTAGCACTTCCCTCTGCGCCTGGAGAGACCTGCTACTGGTGCAGGGAAGAATAAGGGCATCGCATGCGGAGAAGGTTCCTTGCCCTCTTCCCCCCCAAATCCTCATCCCATGTCCATGCAGTATCGGCATAACCAAGGTCCTGTACAACCTTCGAGGTTATATCCTTGGGTATTGTGTGTGCCAGATGCTGAAGACTGGCCATATCTAATGGTGTTGCTTCCCCTTTTTCCATTAGCTCTCCCTGTGCTCCCTTCTCCAGTAATACAGCAACCGTGGACCCTTCGCTTTATTCTTTCTAACCCTGTTTTTGCTCAGGAGCTCCAATGCAATGGGTGTTTCTAGTCTGGGACTCACCAGCTGGGAAAAATGAGGAAGAATTCATAGTTTCTAAGCCCTTGTGACGGCTTCTTTTTTTCCAGGGTCCAGACTTTGGCTACGTCACCAGGGAGCCTCTGTTTGAGGTCGTCACCAGTCTCGATTCCTTCGGCAACCTGGAAGTCAGCCCTCCCGTGACCGTCAATGGGAAGGAATATCCCCTGGGGAGAATCCTCATTGGAAGCAGTTTCCCCACGTAAGAGAGTCAGAAAACCTGCATATTTCGTGAGGATCAGGGAAATCCTGCAGTGATCACTGATCCCTGCTAATTCCCCATCTCCCTCCATAATATGCTGGATATAGAAGCAAAGCCTGTGTCTGGATCTGTCTTGCCGGGGGAGCTGCTGTTAGCAGCTAACCCTGTGGATTCAGAAGTCTTGCTTTGGCCCATAACAAGCTAAACGATTTTTTAGAAAACCTAGGTTGCAGTTTGTTTCCTGGTTTCAACACACCCTTTACCAAGCTCTCCAGAGGCTGGGAGTGTTCGGACCTCTCTGTAGTCAGCAGCCATATGATTTGAGAAGCTCATTTGCTGGCTCTCTAATCTGCTCAGTATTCAATTTTATCAGGATCACGTTGAGAGGGGGTGGGTATGGGGCTGGGGTTGGATCTCTGCGTTTTACCTTTGTGAGCATATCATCTAGTGTTTTTAGATCCAAATTTGAGTGCCTCGCTGCTGTATGAGGTCAGACACCATGGGAATAAAAGGGAATTGGAATTTTTTCTTGCATTTCCTTTTCCAGACCATCATGATTAAAACTTTTGCCCCAATTCTGAAATACAATTGTTTGTTTTCCCCTCTATTTCTGCTACTAGATCAGCCGGAAGGAGGATGACCAAAGTGGTGAGAGATTTCCTATATGCCCAGCGAGTCCAGGCACCCATAGAGCTCTACTCCGACTGGCTCACCGTGGGTCACGTAGATGAATTTGTGACCTTTGTGCCCATTCCTGGCAAAAAGGTGACCTCCCTGATGGCAATTCTGAAAAGTTTACCAAGGATAGGGATGGGTTTGAAGGCTCTGCATCAAGAGCTGATTTGCTAAGCTCTTTAGGCACAATGCCCCATAATGCCCACAAGACTTGCTCTGTATTTGGGGGGGAGAAGGATATCTGAAATCTCTACTTGCTTAGGTTGGGAAGAGCAAAAAGAATTGGCCTGTTTGCTGCTAGCAGGGTCTGCTGAGATTTTTTTAAAAGTGCCCGAGCCCTAAATTAAAATTGGATGCCCTACTCCTGTTTGAAAAACCCAGCCATCGTTCTCTTTGTGTGGTGCTTAGATGCTGAAGCCATGGGTGCTGTGCAAAGGAAACCGGCAAGAAAACTCATCCTAATAATTCACGCAAGATGGCAGCCTCAATTGTGGGGCTTCAAGAGGCTTCAGGCAATGTAGACTTCCCTATGGACCAGTTGGGTGTGAGCCATTGCTCCTCACCTCTCAGCATATGGCCCAGTCAGAGTATTATGACTTCTATAAAGACCTAGATCACTGACCTGTGAAAGTCCGTCTCTGGTCCAGGTTCATTCAAAGAGAAAGGAGCAGAAATGTTGGTACTTCCTAATATACCTGTGCATTGCATTCTTCTTCCGATGAGACATGTCTTCCTAAATTAGGGCCACCACAATGGGACAATATAGTCCCGCCTCGTAAGCAGCTTGAGAGGTAGCTTGTGCTTTGGTGGATGTAGATGTGTCTCAAGAAAGCAGCACCTTGGCCATGAGGAAGGTCCGGTGGAGGTGGTCTTTGCAGATTACTACTGAGGGCTTTGTATGCAGCGATCGAGACCCTACAGGCATGGCAGTAAATGCACAGGGTTTGGCGCAGGTTAAAAGACTTTGGGGACTTGAGAGTTTGGCTCTGTAGCTACACATTTCCAAGTCAGGGTAGGCAGACAGTTCCCAAGTATCTCCCTTCTGTGCTCATGGCAGCCACGGAGCAGAAGGTTGCCTGGCGTAGAGGCAGCGCGTTGAGAGATCGTGCTGTATGGGTCTGTGGCTGCTCTTGATGATTGCTGTTTCATCCTCTGGGCCAAGTATTTAACTCTTTCCTTCGGTCCTGCCTTCCTCCCAGCAATTCCGGATGCTCATGGCCAGCACATCTGCCTGCTACAAGCTCTTCCGAGAGAAGCAGAAAGAGGGCCACGGGGAAGCCACGATGTTCAAAGGTCAGTTTGTGCAGACAAGCTTCCTGCCAAAAAGAGAGAGGCCTGTACTCTTAGAAGGGAGCATGGGATAGTGGGCAGAGCACATCATTAGTACGAGGAGACCTGAGCTCTATTCACCTCCATCCCATTACAAACCCACTTTGTGATCTGAGGTGAGTTACTTAACCAGTCAGTGCCTCAGTTTCCCCATACAAGACTCAGTTTGCCCTGACTAACCCTGAACTGAAATACTGCATCACCGGCTCGGCTTTGTTGTCTGTGGAGTCATTTGCTATGGGCTGAGCATTCGGGCTAATATATTCTCCAACGGATGCATCTTATTTATTGTCATTCCCTTGCTTCAAGCTTCACAAAGAACCAAGGGAGCAAGAACCACGTTGCAGAGAAGGGAACCAACAACATGGCCATCTCACCGTGTCCCAAACACTATTATTTACATCAGGTGGGAGGGAGCCTGTCGCTCTCCTGAAAAAACATTGCCTCCTACAGAAATGCAAAACTCTCAAACTCTTGGTTCAGAGATGATGCCTTTTATTAGACCAACTAATTGCCTCCTACACACACACGGAGGAATTTGGATGCGAGATTAGAGTCATAGTCCATGCAGTCAGGCATCCTGTCTCGGGGGGCTTTGGTTGGAAGCAGGAGCTGTCCCCAGGTGATATATGCACCCGGCTAATTCATCAGTGGTCCGTGCAGGGGTGTGGGATAG